TTTTGAGAAGAAATTCTAAATCTTTCAAACTTCGTAACCAACTACGAGCCAACAAGTCTTTTTTGTTTTTTAATATATCTTCAATAGTTAAATTGTTTTCTATGATATGGTTAATTCATTTCATATCTTCAAGTCTTTTCTTATTAATTTTGTCAGAACCTTTTAGTTCGTTTGAAAGAGCTAAGTAGCGATAATTTCCAAAAGCCCAAAATCCGTTTTCGTCACTTGATAGTTCTGTGGCTTTCCAATGTGCTAGAGTTCTTTTCTCAATGCAATCCTTGTTGCACACATCACAGATTTTTTCTCTCTCTTGGAAATTGCAACGGCATTTTTTTTTGTGTTTAGGATCCTTGCATCGATTCCATTTTTTTTGACTATAATCGCGATTCTGGTCCGAATCATCGTTTAAAATTTTTGGGAAATTCATCGCATTATGATCGAATAATTTCTTCATGCTAGTTATAGTTTGGCATTTATCGAATTGAAAATAAGCTTGTTCGTGAAATTTTCCTGAATCGGTAGCTTCGTACTGTCCAAAAACGTATGTTAGTCCAAGTTTTTCTAATATCATAAATTCCTCTTGTGTCTTTGGCAAGACGCGTTTATACATGTTGGCAAAATCCCAAACTATTATAGTTTGGGATTGGGCGTCCCAAATCCCAAACTCTGGCCAAACTCATATCTCAAAAACTTTATTAATGATCTTCATTTAAACAAATCATATAAATATTTATAGCTATATATAATATATTTGCAAAATTTTAAATTTATTTTTTTGATTCAATTTTTTATAAATAGCAATTGTATTTTTGGGGTTTGGGATTTGTCCAGGTTTTGCCAACAAGTATAGACGCGTTGGCATTTGATTTTAGATTCTTTGCAATAAGAACATGTAATCTCGTTGCATTGGTTAAGTTTGCAGCATTGATCACAGGATGCTAGCTTGCAGCGCCAATGTTGTTTGTTATATTTGTTGCATGTAGGAACAGCACCAGTTCATCGATATTCTTCTTCACGTTCAAATTTTTCTTTTTCGGTCATGTTTTTCTTGCATTTGAAACGTGTTAAGCAAGGAACACAATAGTAAACAGTTGACATGATATGTAAAAATCTTTGATCACGACCCATTGATTTTTTTTTTAAAATCACCGACGGCGACATTTGACTCTTTTTATAGTTTTATTTCAATTATTTAAGTTATTTATAGAATGGTAATACAAAATTGGTTTGAAATACTATTTTAGGAAATACAATTTAATCATTTAAAGAATCATAATCAGACAAATACAAATATTCAGAATAATTAATATCTTCGTTAACATCAGTTTCAATAAAGTTAACTGGAACTTTATTATCTAAATAAATCTCTTCATCATCAATAACTTCGTCTTTTTTCTGATATTCTTCAAGTGAATCAAATGAATCAACTGACAGTTGATTCTGATAGGCCTATTTTGCGTATTCAAAACTTGGGCCATAGAAATTCTCGATCCAATTAAATTTTTCAAATAATTTATCGAGTAAATTATTTTGTTCATTGATAACTTCTTGTAATCGATTGATGTTTTAAAGAGACGCTTCATTGATCTCTTCAATCTTCTTTTCAAATTCTTCTCGTTCTTGTTCATAGAGATGTTTTTCTTCTTTGTAAAAATCGAAACTAATTAACCGTTGGTTTTTATTTTTAGAAGATGTTGAATAAGGGTTTTCAGCGATAAATTTGTGTTTGTTTTCTTTAGGCATTTTGTTTAAAGTTTTGGGTCAGGACAGTAAATTATTCTCCCTTTATAAAAAATGAAAATAAATTCGATTGGTTCGTTAAAATTTTTATATTTCCTTTTAAAGTTTATCAGTAATTAAAAATTCTACAATTTAATATTACCATTTTCATAATTCGGATTTGGAAATTTAAGGAGCGTGAGCCGAATATATGAATTGTATGAATTAATTGGTTCATCAAAATTACATAAAATATTTTATCATTAAAAAATTATGTAAAATATTTTGATCATTTTCATGATATCTTTTTCCTTTTATATTTAATTAGACTAAGTTCGATTGGTTCATAAAAATTTTCATATTTCCTTTTAAAGTTTATTAGTAATTAATTTTTCGTAATCTGATTTATCTTAAGATTTAAAAAAATATTTTGGTCATGCTCATTTATTTTTTTACAAAGAAGAAATCTTTTGCTTCTCAAAATAATTAATCTTAATTTTTTCTAAATTAAAAAATATTGGAAAAACTTAATTGGGTGTAATTGTAACTTGAGTATGAATAGTATCTTTAATTGATTCTTTAATAAAAAAATTTATACTATTATTTTCATAAACAAGTTTTTGTTCATGAAAAATCTTTATTTCTAAAATTTGTGGCGGTAAAACAATAAAACTAGTTGCTTCGTAATTTGTTTTTTCTTGTGAAGTTATTACAAATGAATAACCCTTATCTTTAGCTTCCTGAATTGTGATTGGTGCATCTTTATCTTTTTTATAGATTAAAATTCTTATCCTCGTATGTGTATCTTTAATTTTTGTGAACAAGAAGTTATATTCAGTGTTTTTAATCAAATGACAAACATTTAAAAAACAGGTTTCTATTTTTAAAAGTTATTAATTTTTATTATCGTGTTCTTTTATAGTTTTTTATCTATATAAAGACTTTACAAATTTACAAATTCGTCAGATTCAAATCTATCAGATTAAAATCTACAAACTTTAATAATTCACAAAATGAATTTTGTTAAAAACATTATTAAAAAAATTAAAACTAATTTTAAAAAACAAAAACAAACTATCGATTTGACGTGGGAAGACTATATTCAAGATAATAAAAATCGGTTGTCTGGTTCAATTGTCGATAAAGAAGACTTTTTTCAAATCTTCTCTTCACCAACCGCTGAACAAGAAGAACAATTTTCTATATTGCATTTAAATTTTTATACAAAATATGAAGATTATCAAGAAGCAATAAGAAAAAAAGAACCAGAACTATATGAAGAACTATCAACTTGGATTGGTCTTTTTGAAGCTCATGTTCGTTCTTGGACAAATTTACATTCAAAAGGAATAGGATTTATAAAAAATCAATACGATCAATGGTGTTGGGAATGGCGAGTTTCTCAATATGAGGAGGATTTTGAACAATCTGTAAATAACGTATTCAACAAAGTTTTTAAAAATCATTTTTATCTATCCCTTAGATTGTAACACAGGCAAATTTGCCTGCATATTTTAAAATTTTTAATAAAATTTTAAATATTGATTT